GGAAAAGTGGGCCTTTCAATAAATAATTGGCTTGTACCGAGCATGAACAGAACGGTGCGGAGAGCGCAGGCTAATGGACTACAGAAGCAGCTGGGCATCACGCTGAGAGGTCACCCTCTGTGCACACCCCCTAATGGGGCCTCCGGTTCCAAGGTTGCACGATGCGGTGAATCGCACGCCGTTTTTAGGTTCTGCAATCAGGCGGCATCCCCGCATTCACGATGCCCACCGCTATAATGATGCTATAGCATAAAAATGTCGGGTTTCTTTTTTTTTATTGGTTCCCCCTGGGATTTCTTACGCTCGTCTTTATTTGCACAAAGCCACACTTTCATCTTCTTTTGTCGGCCCAAAAATGGTGGATGTTTTTCCTGGAGAAATTATGCGCTGGGTTCTTCGTCTGGGAATGTACTTTATATTATTTTATTTTTTTACTTTAGTTCACAACATTCCATTGCACTGTGCTGCACCGCTATAAAACCCATGATGAATATCAGAGGAAAAGCAATTCGGTGGCCGCGAGTGCTCAACAACACTGCGATTTAAAAAAAAAAAAAAAAAAGCGATCCAAACCCAAACCATTTTGTTTTTTTTGTAAATGTCTTAATCACGGCGACAGCTGTAGAAAAGTAAACCGTCAATTTAGACACATGACAGGAAAGATCTGTCGTGACATCACTGCATTAGCGATGATGCGAGATGGGATGTCACATTTTGAGCGTTGTCCCCGGCGACCACAGTTCATCTTGTGCTTAATCGATCGTTCTTGATTTGGCATTCAACAACAATCCCTGACATTTTCGAAACCTGGAATGAAGAAGGAACGAAGGATTGTCATGGGTGTTGTGATTAGCAAAGAAGGTATAATAACACACAAATGGCCAAACACACTAATCCCAGATACCCAAATGAGATTAGGTTCCTAATTATCCAAGTCCATTCATAACTTGTTTTATTTTCCGTCACGGCAGATTCAGAGATTTTTGTTTTTTAAAACCAAACACCGTTCCTGGCTCATTAAATGGGTTGGATCATAACAAATATCTCCTCAAAATGACAATCAAGCTTACAGTCAAGACTCAAGGCAATATGCAGTACAATGGAAAAAAAATAGCGAGAATGTCAATGAGAAAGGGACAAAGCAAGCCAAAACAAAAACAGCAATTGTCGTGTTGAATTTGCCCATCTGTTAGTTGGAAGCCACGTTGTGGTTCATCGGGGAAGAGGACAACAAAGACAAACAAAAGAGTTTCACCACTCCTGTTAGTCACCGAGTAAGATGCAGTCATGGTGGTTGTTTTTTTTCTTCACAGAGGATAAAGAATATATGCCTGTGAGCATTGCGGTATTGTTTTTCTACATGTGCTGAAGCACTGCCGCCGCATACAGTAGTTGCTATTCATGAGCTCATCTGAGGAGTTTTGCATTGTTTGTTAGCATCAAGCTAAGCCGACATTGTCCAAGGCAAAGCATTTTATTTTTTTCTTGAACCATTGAAATTCCGCTATTTTTCTTTCCACAATATATTGACATGCACCTGTGCGTCACATATAACAATACACCGTATCTTTATGTCGATGCAGACATTGTCCTATAATCCCTCCACAGCTCCAAATCATGATTGCGTAACTTATTAACGTGTGAGGAATTCTACAGTCTGCATTGCATCCGGACTGTTCTGCGGTTGCCCGAGCAACATTCTGAGTCCTGGGACAAAGCGCCGCCGGACTCTTTGCTACATCTTCTCTCTGCATGCGGCTTAAATAATTGATGCGTTGATTGCTCGGGTATTCATGGACACAAAAAGGCTTTCCCTATTCTCCGCCTGCCAAACCCTTCGACTCCGACATCTCAGGGAAGGAAGCAGCACGACGCAAGAGCCGCAATCGTCGGCAGCCGACGTCCTTGAATGTTTTGATTATCCCAAATGAGTGTCATTTGATGATACAAGTCCCTCGTCCTTAACTTCCTGGAACGCTCCTTGGGAGCAGCCAACAAACGTATAATTTAGACTGGGTGCTTTTCAGCATCAGCAATCAGCCTTGCCACAGAATCACGCCGTGCGAGCAACCGTTGAGCAAAAGTACACGAATACAGTCGAGATTTTCGCACTGCCGGCGATGCATCGACCGCTCACCTTCTCTTTGGTGACCTTGCGGAGTTGCACGGGGAGCATTAACCAACCGCCTTTGCCTCCACCGCCGTATACTTATTTATTCATGCGTGCGCTCCGGCGCCGTATAAATCCCATATTTAAAGGGGATTTGTGTACAAAGAGCGGTGATGTGCTGGGGGCTCCTAATGGAGGGAATTAGCAGGGAGGAGCGCGACGCTAGCGTGAGGGCTCTCGGCCACGTCACGGCCGACGCTTTATGTGACGGCTTCGCCGTGATGATCTTTGGCACTCGCGTCAAGCCGTAATCGACTAAATAGCCCCGATGAGACACGAACATGTTTGCGGCCTCATTGGCTGAACATTAAACAATTAGATCGTCAATCTTCTCCTCTCGGAGGCCAATTACCTAACTTGATATTCCAGTTCATTGACATGTAATGACTTCCCCTTTCATTCCGCTTCATGGCAAAAATCAATGTGTGTATGCGTGACGTTGTACGGGCTGTCACATTGTGACCCACGTGCATTGAACGTAACATCCGGTCAGCCAAGCGCCATTCATGATCTTGCCGTTGTTGACGTCCACGTTTTTTATCATACTTTGAGACCGTGACATCACAGCGGACGACAGGCGAGTCCGTCGATAGCACAGTTGGGAGGTTCCGGGTTCGAATCCTGTGTGCAATCTGCATGTTTGCTTCACTGAATCTAAATCGGCTATTCGCATGAATGTGACTTTGAATGTTCTTTTTGTCTGTCTGTACAGTATGTGCCCAGTTCTTGGCTGGCGGCCGCCTCTCACCCAAAGTCAGCTGGATCGGCTCCAGCTTCCCCGTGACCTTTGTTCGGAATTCTTAGACGAGGTTGACAAGATGCCCTGCAGCCCCGTCAGGGAAAAATACCCATTGGGTAGAAATAGATCAGCCGTTCGAGAAACTACGAAATTTCCCGATGGCCACCACTCCTCTCGACGACGGTATCGGATCAAGTTATATAGATTTTGTTTGTTGAATTGTAATTTCTCTTGACTGGGAAGTTCTGAAATCATTAACTTGATTTGGGATATTTTACTAACTTGTCTGTAGGCGTGCATGGGAGTGCGACTGTTTGTTTTCTATTAGCGGCCGGATATTTGTTGGCAACCAATCAGCCGCCACCCGTCTATAAATGATGAAAATGTAAGCTGACGGTGGAGAATTTTTTTCTTTTTTTTTTGGAAAAAAAATCTTGACCCACTCATAAGTCGGTTTAAATCAGAAGGTCTTATGAATGCATATTCCTTCATTTCCCGCAGAAAGCATCGGCCACGACGCCTGACGTGACATCAATGTAAATGAATCAGGCGTCTCGATTCCATTTCAATCCGACCGTTTCATTTCCCAAAGCTTCACTTGTGACCAGACACAACAGGCCGCATTTGTCAGCATTCGTGGAAACGCTGAGTACCATTGAGTGCCGAAGAGGCAGGCCGCATGAATTAGCCAAGAGCAGCGATAAAGCTTCGCTTGACGTACGGCGGATGCCAGCGCACACGCGCACACCCGCACCACAGCCATGTGGCATCCGTCTAGGAAACAGGGGCAAAAGCGTGTCTTTGCTCATCAAGCCTCGTTCCGACCTGAGGGCAATGTTGCCGCCGTAACTCTCGAGTCAGCCAGTCGAGGGCTGGGAAAGAGGCGGCAAAAGCTGGTACGCGCAGACGGAAGAGGGAGGAGGCAACTTCACCACAGGATGAGTCATGTCCCCCCAGCCCCTCTCGGCTTGTTTGCCGCACGGAGGGAATGCTGTGGGGAATCGCCGTGTCAGATTTGGTTTCCTCGCAGACGTCCCAGTTAAGGTTCTACGAGTTTGGGATTTTGCATTCGAATTCGTTTTTATTTTGTTTTGAATTTATTTTGACGTATTATTTTTATTATTATTGTTATTATTCTTTTAAATGTTTTATTTTAATTTACTCTTTTATTCGTTTTAGGATTACTTTTACCCAACAGTGACACCTAAGTGAATACAACACAAAGTTCATGTATGAAATTATTTGACAAAAATGATAACAAAGGACATTTTGTCTATAATTATAGTTACCGGTAGTTTCGTGAATGTAAAATGACATTTAATTTTATGTTTATTTTGTTTAAGCAGTCTCTCCTTTTTTTAAATTAATGTTTTGGTTAGTTCTCGTTAACTATAATAACCACAGTACCAATGTAAATGCTAATGAGCTAGCGGGGCCGTAGACTCACTTTGTGTACAGGTTGAACCGGGCAAACGCACAAAATTAGGTGCTCCCAAATTTTTCATGTCGCGTCAACATAGCTCGAACGCTAATCAAAATATTAAAACGCCTGAAATGAAATAAAAGTGGTGAGTGCTGCATTACGTGTTGGGGAGATGTTGCTAAATCAGCCGATTGACTAGTTAATGCTTCCCCTGGCCTCAACTATGCAAAACCCCTTTTCCCCACAAGCCACATAGTATTTATTGCAGGCTTAATGGGTCCCGCAACATGAGTATGCAACCCTTTCGCATGTGCTAATACTGCCTGTACTACACAAACAACATGGGGGGGGGGGTTGGGGGGGCTATGAGCCATCATTCAATACACTGTATGGTGGCAGTGAACTCAACTCGACTGACTTCACTAAAAGGAGCAGTTTGGCAGATACTAAGGGAAAAAATCTTGATAGTGGCTTTTAGCTGTTTAATGCCACTCTGGGTTGATGTTCACGGTCAAATTAAAGACAATTATGATGTGTATTTAATAAAAGAAAAAAACATAAGCCACTAACAGGTCAACGGGTCTCTGTGGTGTTGTTGAACACAATCTTCGTAGACAGTCAGTTTAACAATACACACAGGCATATCATCTTTATACTCTGCAAAGAAAATGACTAATATCCCATCAGCTTGCTGAGTCAATTCCAGTAAGTTCTGAGACTCTTTTTCATTTGTATCTGCATGACGGAGACTACAGGTGAGGCTGGAAAAGACAACATCATCAACACACACCACCAGCACTGGAGCCCCGCAGGGATGCGTCCTCTCTCCACTGCTCTTCTCCCTCTACACAAACAATTGCACCGCAACACACCCAGCCGTCAAAAGTCCAATGACTGTATTATACTGCCACCGGTGGCCAAGTTGCCCCTACCAGAAGACACCGCAATAAATTACTGTGAGTGGATCTTATAAGTAAATTCTTCCAGAAAGATCACAGAGTGCTCATTTTAATCTGGCATATTTTTAAAGTGTGTTGAAAACAATTGTAAGAGTAAGTTTAAGCCACCGGTATATTATTATTCTTATTCTTATTATTATTATTATTCTTATTATTATTATTATCATATTTGGAATGCATTCAGATGATTGCAATGCGAACCCACTTAAATCGCAAAACCATTTTTCCACAAGGGTCTATGAGTGAGGAAAACATCAGCAGCAGCTGTTGGGCATCACAGATGCTTTAGGTGCTTGTGAGATGGAGGTGGAGGTGGTGGAGGTGCGGGGGAGGGGGGTTGTCCTCTGTGGTTTGACTAATGATGTGCCACTGAAAGAGGATTTACACCAGCAGGAAACAGGAAAGTCTATCCGAGTGAAAGGAGCACTGGAAGACAGACACACGCGCGCGCACATCCAGTACCAAAACACTCAGTGGTGGACGCATACATCGCAAGTCATGTCAATTCCGCCACTCGGCAGCTCGAAGCCATCGGCTTCAAAACCAACTGACCACAGACCAGCAGTTACATGAGCGTTTGAAAGGCGATTTACTGCACCAGGAACAGTGGGTTCTCCTCTCCTATCATGGCAAAGGCTTTAAGTGCCTGGCAAGGGCAAACGAATGCCCAACAGCGGGGACGACGCAACGAATGTACAATCGGGCGCCAGGCCTGAGAAGCCGTTTGTAAATCGGGTCGGATACGGAGAAACAAAATGTTCGCGGTAAAAGCAAAGGTTTAAAAACGCATTGTAAAAATTCAGCTGTTAACAGCTCGCGTCAATTTTGGTCAACGATCGTTTACCCGAAGCGGTGAAATATTTTGATGTGTAAATATGTATATTTTGACACTTTCGAAACCTACTTTGCTTACATTTGGCCACTTGACAGCACACAGATGGGATAAATACTGCGCTCAAAGCGCCATGCTACAAAGCTACTTAGCATTTCTAGCCAGCAGGCACGCGTGAATTCATTTAAATGTATTAAATGCTCAACTTGGCCGATGTCCATGTCATCGTTCTCCTTTTGAATCCTCTTTAAATTTACATCCACAACACTCACCATCCACGTTTCTAACTCAATACAGTGTTCAATATGTTCAGAATTTCACACCGATCCGCACTGAGAATTGGATTTGAACGAAACGGATATTTTATCCAAGAGCGACAAAAGTGATCTGGTTAGCTCACACCGCACAGCACATTCCCACATCCAAACAAAACGACAAAAACAGTCACCGTTTTCTGTATCCACCCTCTCTTGTTTCTGTCTTCCATTTCTTTGCCGATTTTCTCAATCTTCTCGGGAGACGGCTGAGTGAAACAAGACTGGAGACGAGCCCGCTAGCCACCAAGGACATAGTTTAGTGTGAATAATGTTCAAAGAGAAGTGTAAATATCTTTCTGTGACAAGCTGTTTGGATTGCTTCTCATATGCGGTCGGGTACTCGATGGATCATGTCGCAGGGCTGCCAGCCGGCTCGCCTTGCAAGAAAAGGCTTCGCTTGTCACAAGGGCAAGGTGCACTTCGAAGGGAAAGGGGACCTTTCGGGACAGGCCTCGAACTGTCACTCTTGACACTGACTTGGGCTGATGAAGTGGCCGAGTGAGTTCATGGATCTGATTGGGCTCAGCTTTGAAAGAGAAAAAAAAACATCCATTTAGGCCTGAGATCAATTGTTGGTTGAAGTTACCGGGACATTAATTAAAGCCGGGCACTCGTGATCATCCTGCAAAGTTCCACCGTCTAAAAAAAAAAATCTTTTCCGGAAGCTTCCACGACTGCCCTGACCCGACCTTGGCGTTAAAACAACAGATTATCGGTATAATTAAAACCAGCCTCTTTGGTTTCTGATTGCAGCCGCCGTAATCCAGGCATTGTTTACCTTTGATCGCCCGCTCTTTATCGTCCTATTCGGCGGTTTCGCCGTGTTGATCTAGCTCTAAACCAATCACGCCGATAAGCGGGGGTAATCAACGGTGAAATCACATCAGTCACCTCGCTGGAATATGGATAAGCACTCAACCGTAAGGGGTATCGCTTGAGGGCATCTGGGAGGGTGACGTTCACATGACAATGACTTCCAAAAAAAAAATGTCAAAAAAAGAAGTGAAAAGTTTCACATACGGACAACACTGTTGTGACACCCTGCAAAGAAAAGTTGTCAGGAAATATTGTTTTGAATACTGCCAGGAAGGTTTGGGACAGCTTCACTATTGGCTCACTCGCTGCCAATGGACGTTTATATTCCTCCATGGGAATCTAAACGTTTACTTGCACTGGTGCAGAAATTTGTCAAGTAGATTTTTCAACGGCAGGCGTGGAAGAGATGTCATGGTTCTGTTTGTGGCCAACAGGTGGTGCTGTAGGGCTCCGCCTGCAGTTGCACACCTGTTGGTCATGATGTCATTCGTTGCTTAAAAGAACTCCCGGCACGCCCACTCAGTGTCGGGTCATTGTTTGCTCCTGTTGTGTTTGTTTCTGTCATGTTTCTGGTATTCTTCGTTTTTTGCTTTTTGTTTGATACGTTGGATTCTTTTTGTTCTTAGCACTTTGTTTGTTTTGGATTTAGTTTTCTGTGTTTTTCTCAATACATTTGTCAAGTACACCCTGCTCCCTCCCTCCTCCCTGCTTTTTGGGGTCCTCCATCACCACGCGACATGACAGGTGGTGCCCCACAAGGGAGAGAAGCTCACCAGGAAACAGTACCTTGATGGGAGGGAGACTTGAGTCGACGTGTTTCAGGGTTGAAAGGCATAAAAGACATGAAAAGGGGTCGCTCGCTGCTTGCTGTTGCGTGTGGAGACGAAAGAGACACGACTTGCCTTCGTCTTCTCATTTTGCCATCAAAAAGCCCCTTTCCTCGTCTTGTGTCTGCGTCACCAAAGCACAAAATAATTGTGTCAAAGTAAACCTTTGTTTGACACCTTCCAGTTCACAAGAAGCTTGTTCCCTCTGCTTTTAGGTCAGAAACCGGTGTGTGCCGTGAAAACAACACGATTACTAAAGAATGGAATAAGATAATCAAAAACTTTATTTTCAGGGGAACATTTACATTGAGTGGTTTGGTGCTTATATTGTCCGAAAACAATATTCGGTGGGTCTTGTTAATCATTAAAAATGCTCTAAAATGGCCGGCAGGACGGGAAACGGCTCTGAAAACAGCTGTCAGTGAGTTGCTCACGAGTGCCCTGTGCAAGTCGATTGATAAGAAGAGTAACAAAATGATTCTATAAAAAGGAAACATATCTCAATGGCGTGCTCCTGGGTAGGAAAAAAAAAAATCAGGCGACTCATTTGAAAACATTTCCATTGTTTATTTTTGTCACGTAAGAAAATGGCCGAAAGGACAATTTTTGGTTTTTGTTTTTTTAGCCATAGGTGATCTTGTCAGTAACACCCACGGTAAGTGACAAACCCGCTTTATCCTTCCTCACTCTTCCCAAAAGTAATTTACTGAAAAAGAGTCAATTGATGCCAGCTCGGTTTGATGCACCTTTATCTTATTTTCGTACGTGTTCGTGGCCACTGCCAACTATGGTCGCAGTCTCTGCTAAAAAGACAAAACAACACCTACACCCCAAAAAAATTCCTTCCTCAGGCCCACAAAAGGGAGCCGCCATTAGCTATTAAGATAAATAAAGAGTAGCTTTCAATATTCATTCATAATCCATTCATTTGTTTCCTTTTATTTTCTCTTTTATTTATAAATTCAAAGCATCGCCAGAGCGCCTACGCATGTCTGAATCTTGACGCCGCCGTCTGCCCATGAGCAGATGTTCGCTTGCGCTTCCTCATCAGCGTGTCTCCAACGATTGATCGCTAATCAAACCCTTGCTTGGAGCAACTTTTTCACTCTTTAGCGTTCTCTCCCAAGTTGGCAGAAAAATGGCGATCCGATCTGAAAAGTTCAATCAGTTCGGCTGCGATCGCCGGGCGGAGAAGTTGTTTGCCTGCAAAGATGCGACAAGAAGATCTGGCGCCGGTCCACATGTCCTGACTTTGGTCCAACTTTATTTCCGAGAGCATTTTCTCTCAACTCTACGTGGACAGATTCCGAGAGTTATTTTCATGACACAAAAATCTTGCAGATGTTCAAGAATATGTCACGCAACGTATTCAGGCAAGGCAAGGAGGCGTTATTTTATACAGCGCATTTCATACACAAGGTAATTCAATGTGCTTCACATAAATAAATGTAAAACGGTATTAAAATCGCTTCCAGAATGTACAGTGCGAGAGCGCGTAGCAGTAGCACCGGTAGCTAATTTCAAAATCTATTCTACAGTTGACTAGGAGCCAGTGGAAAAAAAAATGGAGGCCTTTACAAATAAAGTCTACTGGAGATAAAAGCACAAACAGGCTTCTCCTGGTTTACTTGGAGCACGTGTCCCTTCGATCCACCCCTTCAAAATGGATTTACGGCATCAAGACTTGCGCTCGTTGCTTTGTGCTTCAGCTTTCTCGAAAGCGAACGGCAGAAGTTCCGCCGTTTTAAAGATTCAAGTGCACTGATGGAGACACAGGAAACGATTTAAGCCCTGAACGCTTCCTGTCATCATCCTGCTTGTCTCTGCCAAGAAAGTCATATTTCCATTCAAGATTCAGTACAAGAACACTCAAGGGTTTCGGATGGTCATCACTTGAGTACCGTCGCCTGTCTCCGGCAGTCCAGCCCATCTGCAACTTTGACGGCCGACGATCTATGATTAAAGCAGCGCGCGGGGCGATCCCGGAAGCCAAGGGCCGATCATGAGTGTACGTTTTCAGGGGATGTTTGAAGTGATGTTTCGTCTCCGTCGGTTGAAGCGCTTTTGGTTGGAACGATGAATAAAAAGCATTTCTGGCTGCTGGTGAAAATAGGGCATCTGTTGCGTGTTTTGTCTTGTGGATCATCTTTCAATTATGGATGGTTTTCAAAACGCTAATGCGAAAATGTTTTCAAAAACGTTTTCAATGAACGGTTTAAACCAATTTAGATTCTTTGTAGGTACCATTCAAGACATCTGTGCCTTTGAAAGAAATCCAAGCGAATGCAGGACAAGCCGTGGTCTGAAATGTGTTGCTTAAAAGAAGAGGAAGTCTTCGGATTCAATTCAAATACGAGATTGTCTAGCGCGGCCGCCGCTGTTGTTGCAGGCGGAACGCAATTACCCGTCTCGCTTCTCGCAATAAACACGCCGAGTGAAGCGCACAAATATTTCATGTCTGCAAATCACTTGAAGCATGTTGCAGCGCTGACAGATCGAAAATGAATTCAAACTCCAGACGTGCAATTGGGAATTGCTACTCATCACCGTTGCTCCCCCGCATAAAAATGTTAGCGGTCGACTTGACGCGCCGAGCGCAACGCGACAGATGCGGTGAAGCCGAGACGATCAAGTCGAGGTATTCCAAAAGACTTTCCCAAAGTTTTATTACGCCAGCTTATTTTATTTATTTATTGTTTTTTTAGTCCTCCTCACCAGCATTCCTGCTTTCAACTATTTCACTGTCACGCGGGTTAGTTGACAATCTTGTCACTGTCACGACAGAATTGTGTCCTTGAGCACGATTGATTCATAGCATGGACGGGGAAGCTGAATTTTCAGCACGCCGAAACAACTTTGAAGGTTGTATCCGAGTTGCCCGAAAAGCTTTGTTTCGGTTTTATGAAGGTTCCACGTGAAGTTGACGTGTACAGAGGCAAAACCGCCTGACAGATGACAATGATGGCCACGATACGAGCGTCATCTTTAATTCAGGTTGCTCTAGATTGGGCGGACTGTCAGATTGATACGTGGGGCGGAATAGAAGTGACTAATAAAATTCTAGCAGCCTTTCTTTGCTCGTGGCAAGCCTCCAATTGTTGTTTCGAAGCAGCGGGTACACTTAAGTGAAGCCTGCAGTAACGTCTTCACTTGATTGTTTTGTTTTTTTTGTTTTTTTGTATTGTCCACCAAGTGAATCCTAAAATGGCTGCCGTGTAGCAACGTAAACACGGCTATGCTACGTCAAGATATGAACATTTTGTCCCACCGTTATCTGCCACGGTTGCGGTGCTGTTTGCCTTCCTAAAACAAACAAGAATGCTGGACCCACGCAAATGAGAATAAAATCATTTTGCGGGAGCAAAAAGGTGCCTCGATAGAACGCGCGAACTCGTTAAGAGTGCTCGTGAAGAGGTAAAAATGTGACAAAACACCTTTACAGTTTTGTCGACGCCTTGGGATTGTTTCTCTTGTTAAGTGCGAGCAAAATGTCTTCCTTCAAGTGTTACTCTTTTTTTTTTAACTGACACGTGTGGCAGCACAGCAAAACAATTCATCGTCTTGTTTTCTTGTTCTTTCAAACTAAACTCATCCGCTCATCCCATTCTGGAGCAGGATTATAGTCAAGACCCTCCCCCAAACGGGATGAAGTACAGAACTATCTGAATAGCGACAAATTAAGACTACCGCTAGTTCTCATTTCAAGGTGTGTCCTAGTTCTTTTGTCCTCTGGCCCGTTTTTTGGGGGTAATCTTTGTCCCGTCAGTTATTACCCACTCCCCAAGACTCCATCAACGTCGGCCACTCTCCAGCTGTCATTTTCTGTAACGGTCTTCACAACTCATCAACTCCGCCGTCCCGCGCGCTCCTCCAGTCATTTCCTGTTCTTATCCTTTTAGCGTGATAATTGCCCGCCTCATTTATAATACATTGCACAGACAACGTGATGGTTGGCCAAACCATCAAGTAGCTGTGCGGTCGAATGTAACCGCAGCGTTGCTCCTTGAACACGCCGTTTCCCCCTTGGTGGAGTTTCAACTTGTCTGGGGGAAATTAGTGTTCGCATTGTTTTTTTTTTTTTTGTATGCCTTTGTTGAAATCTTCCTATTGTTATTTAGCACTGGCTCTCTGGCTGATTCGTGAGCTTGCATTTTTTTTTTCTCTCCCTGATCTATTTCAAAGACTTCATCCAGATATGATTGTCCCTCTGCTTGGTGTATTTTTCAACAGCAGGCTGTATATTATGCAGTGTTGTGTATAATAGATGTGCTTAATTTGCCCGAGCCACCTCTTTGCCTCATATAATCACACAGCTCATCAAGGTAATTTATGAGGACTGGCAAAAGATTCCTTCAAATACGGTCAATCTTTGGACACCGCAGATAGCTGCTGCCTGATTGCAAATGAAGCTCCCAAAGCCGAATCACTGCATTTTCGTTTTCAATATTGACCTGCGCATATAAAAGACCAACTGGCCGAATTCAGCTGTTCCAAAACTTTTTAAGTTCCAGAACCCATTTTAAGATAAGGTAAGAAAAGCCTTTATTTATCTCACAATGGAGAAATTCGCAGTTTTGGATCAGGGTTCAGTTTTTTTATTGAGTCGCCACTTGTCCGCTGTCAGTGCTTTTATTGATTGTCAAGCAGATAAGATAAGAAAACCTTTATTTGTCTCACAATGGTGAAATTCCCAATTTACAGCAGCAAAATTATGAAAGGGAGAAAGTAGAAGACAAAAAGTATAAAAATACATAGAAAATATAAATATAAGCATATTAAAAAATGGGTGAGTGGGGGTGAATCCAGGTTTTCAGGACCGTCTATTCAATAGCCTGACAGCAGGTACATGTTTTATTGACTAAGGGTTTTTTTTTTTTTTTTTTTAAATTTGTGTTCGTTTTGAATAAATTACCGTTGGATGTGTTCTTGATCATTTCAAATGTGTAATATAAGATGTTTTTGTGAGTTTAGGTCCTAGTTTGCCAGCCTGGACCTTCACCACAGTAGCCTAGCAGAGGTTGCTAGCTCCTTGCGCTCCCCTCAGCACCAATCCAATAATGAGCCTTTTGTCACTTTGGTTTAGCAGTGAGAAAGTCAAGTAACAGCATGAGACGGAAAGCAATTTATTGTCGTCTGGACTTAGCAAAACTTCATCTCGAGCTTGGCATGTTGTTAAGTACACGGCCTTCCATTCACGGTGTAGAAACAATGCTCTACTTAGCCAATCGCTTTGGGGCGTTGGATGGTGGATTTAGCCTTTGTTTACAGTCCAGAGTGGCAGAACCGCTAATGAAAAACCACCTCTTGGAAAGAAAACACTTTTCAAAGTAGTCGTTTCAATATTCCCTGTTCTGGTTCGCGGCCCTACCTTAATTGTGTCTTTCAAAAATGACACCAGCCACGAGGACAGGCTACATGGAAACCACAGACCTCATTTTCGTGGGCCCTCACGGCTCAAGTTTCCAACTGACAGAGGTGCTTGCGGAAGGCATCTTTTTGGGAGACCAGGTATTGACTTCCTTCACCTGTTCCTTCTAAAAATAATAAACGGTTTCAATCCAATCCCTGCAAAGGAACTCGGGGGAAGAAAACGTCGACAGGGATGCGCGTTATGTATTCTTGTTACCTTCATACTGTGATTCGCGGTGACCTCTGCCAGCTGTCTATTCAGCTGACAGAGCACCTTCCGTCGCAGCCGATTGTCACGAGCAAAGGGATGCAATGAAAAATGGTACACGGCGGAAAAAAAGCATTCATCTTTATTAGGTGATTTCAGAAAGGCTGTAAAATCTGAAATCACATTAGGTGTGTGTGTGTGTCAGGGGAGTGATGAAAACAATCTAACCATTGATGTGACAAGCATCTAAAATTATCGCCAGCCATCAAAATATAGCTTGAGCAAGCATCCCACTACATATTAGGGCAATGCAATTGAAATAGTCTCTCGGCTATTCAGAATTAGACTCATGTTGTAGTTCCCACATATCGGTCAAGCCTCCTCTTAGCCACAGGAGAGAAAAAGAAATCGGCACAAGGTGCCTGTAATTCACAAAAGAATAGCGAGAGTTGGTGCTTGTCCCTTAAAAAAAAAAAAAATGTCAGCCTAGCTCCGGCTGTCATGGTAAATAAATTTAAGTTATCCTTTTGTGGAAACGAGTTCAAGTTAACCTTGTCTGTCATGCCTGATGTCGAGTAATTTTGTTCATAAACATGACACGGAAAAATAAACTCTTTCTTCGTTGACTGTTTGTCATTAGTGTGCATTCCGCCTCCGAAAGCACACACATTACTGCAAACGCTACCTTCAGCTCGAGGCGAGACAGATATTCATCTTCCAGGGTTACAGAGATAACAGCGATGACCTGCCGACGGTATGTACCTTTATCCAGTCTTGTATAAAGTACATAAAGAGCTACATTTGATTAAAAGTACAAGCATTTCAGCAGTAAGTCGCTTCAGCGGAATCTAAATTCACCTTGACGAATGATGATTGTGGAATCATCTTCACATATGTGACATCTGATATACTTTAGTACCAATAGATATATATTAGGGCTGTGAATATCGATTGAAGAGCAAAGCAGAATTTTCCCATTTGAATCAGAACATGTCATAAACTGTCAGAAAGGAACGTTTGGATGGCTTGTGCTGTCTCGCAATGTCTGCTCTATCTATGCGGGGAGTGCACATGCGTGAAAGCTACTTATGTGCTACGTTCGAGCTAACACTCACACAACTAATGCCCTCCTAGCAATGGGAATATTTGGCCGTCTAACATCATCCTGACAATGGGAATATTTGGCCAGCTCAGGACTCAGCTGTTGGCTGGCTAACGCCGTGCTAGCAACAAATGAAAGGGAGGTTTCAAACTTAAGACACTGGAACAGAGGGACAAACTAGCTTAGCGCTAGCTAGGATGAGGGTATTACCAACGTAGATGGATTTCAAATGGGACCAAAGAGGGAAAAAAAAAACATCCCCTGTTCTGCCATTGGCCAGGGTACAGCGCGGGATCCTGGAGGTTAAAGTAAGTGCTTTTAAACTAAAAAGGTTAACCTATATAATTTGCCAGATATAGAAATAATGAAGTATGGATGCGTACAAAAAGACTTTGTAAGGACACTAACAAAGTACTCAGTTAAATTACACTTGTATATTATCACTCACAGCTTTTTTGAAATGCTCTGTCGAAGTGTTTCCTTCAAAGAGCATCGCGCCTTTTTGAGAGATGTCAAAGAAGTTCAATGCAACTTTCTCCCAAAGAGCACAAGCACCCTGACGTAACCTCCTCCCTGTGGCGTTCGTAAAATGTCAAGTTTGATCAGATAATAAACATCATTGTGATTTACTCAAGCCTTGCCTGCAGATTCCTTCCTTACCATTTTCAATCTCTTGAATCCGCAGAGTGTTCCGCGAGGCGGGCGGTAAACAAATGGCGTGATGGTGAGATTCCCCTTCACTTAATGCACCTCGCAATCCAGGCGGAGCCCGTAATCATCCGCTACGCAACAGCGGCTTTGCTCGAAGCCAACATTTCTTCAAGGGGCTTGTTGAAGCTACACCCCCCCCCCTTCCCCCGTCCCCTCAACCACCACCACTTGCCTGAGGACACTCCGATCACTCACGCTATGATCTGCTGTTTTCCCTGTCATTGATCATTGTCGGCGGCTCACTGTCCACTCAGCCATGCGCCGTGTTGTGGCAGCAGCTCGTCTGGCTGTGAAATGTTATCACTCGGCCCGAGTCTTCAACCGCCAGGATCAATGCGCTTCTACCGGGTCGCCTGTCATGTGCACAATGCTTTGATCGGCACTTTCATAGAGCTGTCAGCATGTCTTGTAAGGGAGAGCGCATGGATTCGTGCGCGGGCACGGGTGAATAATAGCACGCGCGTCGGGAGGTTATTGACCGGCGTTGACTGTTACCGTCCTGATAGATTGCTTCCCTTTCTAAAAGTCATCATGTAAGTAATCCTGCAATTCAATCACAGCGGGAGGTCTAAGTCAAACGCAATCCGTTAATAAGGCCTTTTCACACATTTCGAGGAAAGAAAATTAGTGTCGGAATTCAGTGTTTGTTTTTTTTCGGTACCGTCTGAGTTAATAAAGTTACATCAACATAAACCTTCCAATACTTTTTAAATTAATGTAATAATTGATTTTCTTTTAATTTAATAATTAACACTCTCATCATGAACAACTTTGACAATGTTCGGTCCTGTGAGTTGTTGCCACCCTTTGAAATCACTGTTTGCTTCCTGAGAAGAAAAAAAAAAAAAAAACACATTCAAAAAATGAGGTCATAACTCGAAAACCAAACTTGAATTGGAACGAAAGAAACTTTTGAATTACGTGCCACTACATACAGACTGAAATGTGTGAGATCACAAATTTCCCGCACCTGTTGATTTTCACACTCAACACTTTGCGAAACGGCATGGCTTCGTGCGTCACCAGTGACGTCCTTTTGACTATAACGTGATCACGCTTGGATAGTCGCTTGATAAATGACTTCCTGGATTTTTTTTTTTTTTGACACACGCTTCGAAGCCTCTGCACCATTTGTGCCATCGCCAAAAGCTGGCTGCCGGCGATAGAAAAAAAAAAAAAGATTGGACAGCCAGCTGATAATGCTCCTCAGTGATGCCAAAGTACCGGTGTGCACGGCCAACAAAAGGACATGCCAACGTTCTCTTAAACAGCACGGTGAACTCCGGCTCGGCAACCCGCCCCCAAGGCCACCACTTGTCTCGCCAAGGCAGCAGGAGCAAAATCAAGAGGATGGCAACCGAGTGGCATCAGGCCAGAAATAGAAGAAACACAAATCAGCCTCGATTTATTTCTTTTTTTCTTTTTTCCTCAGCACGCATCAGCAACACGAGCCGAGAAATGGCTTTGTATCTGAAGAGCACGCCAGGAAGATAAGTGTGCTATATGGAAAATATTTGCTTAAAGAAGTGACATTCTTTTGGTATTCTTCCGATGCGCTACCCAAGAAATGTGTCAAAATATAAAAGTAGTCTAGACTACTTGAGTTTCTTTTCAAAGAAGAAAACCCACGACTGACTTTTTTTTTTCTTCTTTTTTTTTATTTTTCACGAGAGGATGCCAGCCGCCACGTCCCACATCTCACCCCCGCTATCTACTGCTTGTTAGTGCGATCACTTTTCCCTTTGGTGGCTCTGCACGTGGTATGGCTTCATGCTACAATTAACCGCTGCGGGGATGGCTCGCCAACGACAATGTCCCTTCAGCGGACTGCTGCTACCCCGGAGGGAGTTGATGTCGGGAAGAGTCGGAAAAGGAGAAAGAAAACAGAAATGGGGAGAGGATAGACAGTGAGAAAGAGGCCGACCAAAGCCCCGCACTACTTTTGCCTCCATATAATTTTTGGATATGGAGGCAAAGAGGTAGCGTTTGTGCTAAGAGGGTTTCTTCTGCCCCCTGCTGCAGACAACATGCTGACGGGAGGTCATTTCAGGAGGAAAGTCTCCAAATCCGCCTCTCAAAGAAAATCCAGTTTGTTTTGTTTTGTTTTTTTAAATGGATGATATGTCGAAAAAAATATATTAT